GGGGCAAGGTTGGGGGAGATAAGCTGCTCTCTCTTCCTGTCTGCGAACAGTCTTCCCCTAACCCCCTTCTAGATTTGCTGAAAGGTCGTCAGTTGCTCCACACAACTTATAAAATGTTTATGGCCGCAGCCGGAGTGGAGGGTGAGGTTTAGAGTATCTCGACTTTTGAGTTCTGTGAGAGGAGGGACCTGAGGCCCAGACATCTGGGCCTGAGGGAGAAGGGGCTGAAAACCTGGACTCCTGGGTCTGAGAGGGGAGGGGGTAGGAGGGCAGGACTTCAGGTCTGAGGGAGGAGGAGGCTGGGGTCCTGGACTCCTGGTCTCCTAGAAGGTCAGTGAGCTGCCTGGAATCCTGATGGGGGCAGAGGAGGGCTGTGGTCACCTAGATCACAGTGCTAGGGATCAGTGATGCCCCAAAACCAGTTTCTGTTCTTTCCTTTCTCTGCCCATCCTCCCCCCAGTTCTGAGTCTCCTGTTTTTCTGCATCTACTGGGGCCAGTATGCCACTGATGGCATTGGCAACGAGAGTCTGAAGATCTTGGGTGAGAATGATGTGGGCCAGGGCAGGTACTCGGGCTCAGCTGCCTCCGTGTCTGAGTCGCCCTCTCCTCCCTTCTCCCAGCCAAGCTGCTCTTCTCCTCCAGCTTCCTCATCTTCCTGCTGATGCTCATCCTTCTGGGGAAGGGATTCACAGTGACACGGTGCCCAGGCTGGGTTGGGATGGAGTGCTGGGGATGGGNGGTGGGGGCATAGGGGCTGGTTTGGGGGGTGCCACCCCCTCCTCCCTGACGGCCCCACCCCTGCCATCTCCCCTCATGGCCTGCCGCCAGGGGCCGCATCAGCCACTCAGGTTCGGTGAAGTTGTCTGTCTACATGACCCTCTATACTCTTACCCACGTGGTGCTGCTTATCTATGAGGCCAAGGTGAGTCCCACCAGCCAGTGCCCAGGCCCTGCCCCCCACCCAAAGCTTTCATGGCTTGCTCTACCTGTCTGCTAGCTCTTCTCCATACTGAACCCCTGGCTCTCTCTCTCTCCCACTGATTTCCTGCCTTCCTATCTGTCTAAGTGCACTCCTCCCCTCTTCACTGTCTCTGAATAGCTTCTCCCTCTTCCCTCTGTCTCTCACTGTCTGTCACATTTATGTTCAATGTCATGACCAAGAGTTCAGGAATAACTTAGACCTGGATTCCACTCCTGCTCACCCACCTCCCAGCTGGCTGACCTCCGATGATGGGCCCCCTCTTTGGGCCTGTTTTCTCATCTGTAAAATTAGGAAGGTCTTACCTACCCCAGGGGCTCCTCTAGGCTTTATATTATCTTGGCTTTGCCTTCAGCTAAAAGGCATCTCTCTTATCTTGTTTTCCCCTCCGTGAAGTGGGGTGATCATAAGACCTGCTTTGTGGAGTTGATACAAATGGAAAGCTTCCCCGTGGCAGTGTCTACCCCTGTTGGGCCCATGGTAGCAGATGTATTCTCTTCCTATCTTTGCCATCCTCTCTCCCTCTATACACTTCTGTCTCCATCCCTCATTCTGCTGCTTCTGTCCTCTGGGTGCCCAGGGGTGTGGTCTGGGATCCCTGTGGTGGGGGGCAGGAGGGCAGGAGGCCAGGGCTATGACATACCCTTTTCTTTGGGTCAGTTCTTTGACCCGGGCCAGGTACTGTACACATATGAGTCACCGGCAGGCTACGGGCTCATCGGGTTGCAGGTGGCAGCTTATGTGTGGTTCTGCTACGCCGTGCTTGTCTCTTTGCGCCATTTCCCGGAGAAGCAGCCCTTTTACGTGCCCTTCTTTGCTGCCTACACCCTCTGGTGAGATGTGCTGGGCCTCCAGTATGTCCCTGTGTGATCTCACACAAGTCAGTTAACTTCTGCCTCATTTTCCTCACTTGTTTAATAGAGGTGGAAACCGTACCTGCCTCGTAGAGTCACTGTGAGAGTTCAATGAGTTTATATATGTAAAATGCTTAGAAACAGATCTGGCATGCAGTAGGTCCTTAGTTGTTGTTATCATGTTAATTCAGTCATCAAATATCTATTGATTTTCCTATCAGGTGCCGGGATGTGGGGTGGGGTAGAACTGAGTTCAATTCAACCTAGTCCTTGCCCCCCAGAACTTCCCAGGCTAGTGGAAATCTTGCCCCCTTTTAACCTCTGGCTTCTGAAGGTCACACAACTTCCCTCCAGTTTGGGACCCACCTGGGGCCTGTGTGCATGTCTGGAAGGGGAGTTGGGGCCAGGGGGTGGGTGGAGGGAATGGGCATTGTCTCTACCAATCCAGTTCCTCCCTTTCAGGTTCTTTGCAGTTCCTGTCATGGCCCTGATCGCCAACTTTGGGATCCCCAAGTGGGCTCGGGAGAAGATTGTCAATGGCATCCAGCTGGGGATCCATTTGTATGCTCATGGCGTGTTCTTGGTGAGGATGGGCAGCTGGTGGGGTGGGACACCAATAGGCGGAGGATGCACGAGGCTCCCACCCCAACCTGCCTGAACGTTGTGTTCTGAACTCTTGATCCACTTCCTTCACTTCATCTCTCAGTCATTCAATAGACACTTACTGAGAGTCTGCTGGGTTCCTGCAGGCTACCCTACCTGTGTCCCCCAGACTCCACTCTCTTCTGTTCCTCTCTCCCACCTTTTGTCTGGCCTCTTCCCCCAACCCACCTTCTTTCTTTGTTCCCCTCCCATTCCCCTTCCTGACCCTGTGTCCCCAGACTCTCGAATTTCCCTTCTGTATCCCTACTGCCTCCCCAGTCCTCTCGGTCTCTACACACCACCCTTCACCCACACATTCTCTCATATCTGTCATTCCATCACAGGCCATTGTTTGGGAAGAAGCAGCTGGGGTAGGCCAGGCTGGGGCTCCAGGGGCCTAGATCTGAATGGCATCAGGAGGGTACCAGCAGCAAACCTCTTCTTTCCTCTGGTTTACATCCTATCCAGCCTTCTGGGTGACAGTTCTTATATTAATTCATCAATCCACCCACTATCCATCCATCTACCATTCAGTGGGCACCTGTATCAAACCAGCCTTTGTTTCATGCTAGGAACACCTATATGCATTTATTCCTACCCTCTTTTTTAAGTGTCAGAGCAGCCCCAGGACAGAGTGGATAGTGCTCATTGAACCCACTATACAAAGAAGGGAAGCTAAGTTCCAGAGAAGGCAGGTGACCTGCCAGGGCTCCAAGGCCTTTGGTGGCAGGGCAGGGACTTTGAACCTGGTCCTTCTTCAACCACAGATCTGACATGAAAGGGAAATAGGCATCACTGAGGTCCCCAGCTCCTGACCCATGTGCTCTGTGGGGCCCCTGGAGCCCCAGCCTGGCCTACCCTCAGTTGAGGGAGGGGGCCAGGTCCCCTAATCGCTACCCCAGAGCCGGACTTAGGTACAGTCTCACCTTCCTGGGATGGTCCATCCTCAGGCTCTCCAGGAAATTGGAAAGGGGCAGAGAGAGGAGAATGACTGAGAACCCACCGTGGGCCAGGCTCTGCACCCTTTCCTCATTTTTCTGAGTAGGCACTGCAATCCTTTTTTCTCAGTGAGGCAGGGAGAGTGTAATCAACGTGCCCCTGACCCACACTCAGTGAGCTGTGGGGCTGAGGTGGGGTGCAGGCTCAGAACACCAAACACTGTGCTCTTCCTTCTATATTTCACCTTCAGTCAGTTTTGTTCCTAAAAATGCTCACATTAGGTCAGCACAGCTCCACTGCTGACATTCCGCTGCTGGTTGGTTTCAGCTCCCTATTTATTTATTCAGCACGACCTTAAAGGGGTCATGCTGGGCTTCCAGGGTGCAGTACTAGAGTCACACCAAGTCCCCACCTTTCTGCCAGACTAACTGGGGAGACATCTCAACATTCAGCCAATACTTATTGAGAGCTTATATGTGCCAAGTACTGTTCAAGAAAGTATTGGGGATTCAGTAGGGAACACAACAGTCAACTTCCTGCCCTCATGGAGTTAACATTCAGAGTCTGCTAGTTCAATTGAATTTTCTGTGTTTATGAAAATATTCTGATTTTTGCTGTCCAACATGATAGCTACTATCCATATGTGGCCATTGAGCACTTAAATATGGCTAGTGTGACTGAGAAACAAAAAAATTAGTTTAATTTTGATTAACTTAAATTTAAGCAGCCACATGTGGCTAGTGGCTATCATACTGCACAGCGCAGGACGCTGAAGCTTAACTAGTCAGTAATAACTCAGCGATCAGGGAGGAAGCATCGGCAGAGTAAAGAGCTGTGGTGGAGGAAAAAGGTCAGAGCCCAGGGCACTGTGAGAGCCCACAGGAAGCGACTAATCTATTTGAAGGGTTGCAGCCAAGCGTGAGGGATTGCAAGTGCAGGGGACTCCACGTTTATGGAGACAATCTGAGGCCAGGACAGTGAGTCTTCAACCTGCACCTGGCCCCTCGCCGCAGATCATGACGCGCCCTTCAGCGGCCAACAAGAACTTCCCCTACCACGTGCGCACGTCGCAGATAGCCTCGGCTGGTGCCCCGGGCCCGGGAAGCAGCGAATCCGCAGACAAGGCCTTCCCGCAGCACGTCTATGGGAACGTGACGTTCATCAGCGACTCGGTGCCCAACTTCACGGAGCTCTTCTCCATCCCCCCGCCCGCCTCCTCCGTAAGCCCCGCGCCCCTGGCGCCTGAGGAGCTGCTGGCGCCGCCCCTGGAGTAC